ATAATCACGGTGCTGACAGCAGAGCCAGCGGCCGGTGACCGGAGCCGCCTGCCGGTCCCTTCTCTCCGCGCCTCTCTTTTCCTCAGCCTTTCCTCTTGCGTGTCTGCCCCCTCCTCCCTCATATTTGCTCTCTGCTCTGAGTGACCTCAGTATAGATCCCAAGTATTTTTCCTTATTCATGATTGCCAGATGGGACTTAGTGTCTCTGCCTGAGCCTAAAACTCCAAAGCAAAGCTGGCTCTCAGCTGTTACTGGTACAAGCCTTGTGCCTCGGCCGCCAAACACCTGGTACCGGAAACATTCTCTGCCTGCTTTGTGGTGCGGCCTCCGTGGGCAGAGGCCAGTTAGAAGCCACGGCCGGTGCGGGGGGGGGCCTGCCCTGTTCACCGGCCTGGCCACCGTCGCTGGGTGTGCCCTTCCCAGCGCCATGGGCAGCGCGTGACGCGAGGGAAGGGGTCACCGAGCGGCTGACCGAAGGCCGGGCTGAGGCGCGTTGGCCAGCCGCTCCCAGGCCTCGGCCCTGGCTCCACGCGGCGCCGGGAGCACGTGGAACAGCACCAGCCCGGAACCGGACCGGCCCTGCCCCCCGACCAGTCCTGCGCTTGGGCAAACCTCCCCACCCCGGCCCCAGTCTCCTCGCGCGAGGGAGAGAATGCACATGTTGTCCCGGCCACGTGGCAGAGCTTAATAATCACTCTTATTTTGACTGATCTTCATCGAGTGATTTTATGTGCCAGGCCTGACGCTGATCCCTTAGCATGAGGAAACTGAGGTGCAGGACAGCTGAAGTCCCACCCAGGACCCCATAGAGCAGGGGAGGCGCTGGCACGGACCCAGTTAGTGCCTGAAGAGTTTGGGCAGGCGGCTCCAAAGCTCAGGCTCTCAAGTTCATCTCTGCAAGGCTCTGTCGGCAGGCTGCTGTCCCTGGACCCTGGACCCCAGCAAGCACGCTGCTGACCCTGGACCCTGGACCCTGGACCCCACCAAGCACGCTGCTGTCCCTGGACCCTGGACCCCACCAAGCATGCTGTTGACCCTGGACCCTGGACCCCAGCAAGCATGCTGCTGACCCTGGACCCTGGACCCTGGACCCCAGCAAGCACGCTGCTGTCCCTGGACCCTGGACCCCACCAAGCACGCTGCTGTCCCTGGACCTGGACCCCACCAAGCACGCTGCTGACCCTGGACCCTGGACCCCACCAAGCACGCTGCTGACCCTGGACCCTGGACCCTGGACCCCACCAAGCACGCTGCTGTCCCTGGACCCCACCAAGCACACTGCTGACCCTGGACCCTGGACCCCACCAAGCACGCTGCTGACCCTGGACCCTGGACCCTGGACTCCAGCAAGCACGCTGCTGTCCCTGGACCCTGGACCCCACCAAGCACACTGCTGACCCTGGACCCTGGACCCTGGACTCCAGCAAGCACGCTGCTGTCCCTGGACCCTGGACCCCACCAAGCACACTGCTGACCCTGGACCCTGGACCCCAGCAAGCACGCTGCTGTCCCTGGACCCTGGACCCTGGACCCCAGCAAGCATTCTGGGCCCTCCCTACACGCACCTGCAGACTCAGGTCAGCCCTTCCTGACATCAGCAGCCCAGCCTCTTCCATGGGCACCAGGGTGGGTAAGAGAAAGGGAAGGGAAGGGAAGCGGAGGTCACGGCTAGGAGGCAGAGAGTGGGCACAAAGGTCCGGCCTGGGTAATGAGCAAGTAAAGGACTCCCCTACGCCCATCACTTGCCAGGAGCCGGAGAGGTTGAACTAACTGGGGAGTAAAAGCATTGTCAGGGCGCCATCTGCTGGACCAGGTGCTCATTGCAATGAATTTGCGGCAAAACCAGATGGCGTTTCCAGCCTGGCGGGAGACCTGGCCAGCAGTGCTGAGACCTGTTGAAGCCAGATCCTGGGTCTTCTGTGATCATCAGGATATAGTTCTCTTCTGTGCGAAGCAGCAGCTTCCCTGGAATAGATGTAAAAGTCCTGCGTCCCTGACTCTCTCATGAATGTAGATTCCACCTTCCCCGTTGGACTCAAAGGGACTTTTCATTGCTTGGTTTTGGCTTCTGTAGGTGAGGGAGCATTTTTGACCCATAGAAATGGACCCAAGCCACCTCTTAGAGACTCATACAGACATACATAAAGTACCATGCGAACCACTGCAAAATGCAACGTTAAATATCATGTTTGTCATGATGTGAACATGTATTCGGTGGTTCACAGTGAGAAGCTCACAGATATTAAAAAAGGAAGGGCAGGTATGTAAAGTCGCTCATTGTGTCCCTGGCAGTAGATTATCAGCTCCTTTAGGGCCACACCTCCATCTTACATCCTATAAATTCAGTCACAAATGTGTAACCAAGGATCACATGCAAAAGACCCTCCCTGCCTTCAGGGAGCCCACAGTCTTTGGAAGAACTGACAGACAGGCTGTGATAATGACTGTAACAGAGCATGGGAGGGTCTGTGCGATTACACAGAAGGGGGGTCTTCTTGCCAGACCTTGATGGGGTGTCAGGGGGAGAAGGAGTTTGCTGTAGAAGGATTTTGTCCTTCATTTTTTTTAACGTTTATTTTTGAGAGGGAGAGAGAGAGAAGAAAGCACAAGTAGGGGAGGGGCAGAGAGAGAGGGAGACAGAGGACCTGAGAGCACAGAGCCCGATGCGGGGCTCGAACCCACAAACCGTGAGATCATGACCTGAGCCGAAGTTGGGTGCTTAGCCGACTGAGCCCCCCAGGCGCCCCGTCTTCATTTTTAGTAACTTCACTTGACCATCAGCCTTGACCTCTGTTCTCTGGTAGCCGCTCATCACCCGTTAGGGATCTGACAGAATCACAGACGGCTCCCTGACGACGCATCCCCATGAAAACCTTGGTTGTGGTCAAGCATCAGAACCATTCAAGACGATGGGGTCGGGATCCACGCTTCCTGTGCCCTTGGAACGGGGGGAGGGGCTCACGGCTCAGCGCCACCTGTGTGTCTGTGAACGTGGCCGCCCTCCAAGCCAGACCCTGCCCTCCATGACGCGAGGGAGCACGGTGGTCGGCTTCCTACTTCGCTCTCTTGCTCCCCAATTTTGCCCAAGCGGTTGGCGGGAGGAAAAGCCCAGGCACTCCTGAACAGCCGTCCTGCACCCCCAAACCACATTCACCCCACGGCAAACACGCGCCGGCTTCCGGGTCTGTTTCAGCTCCGGTGTCACCGTCAACAGGCCATTAACTGCCCTCGGGTGCACGCGGTCTCGGGGGCACTGGGCAAACCCCCGGTGTTCTCAGCAGAGTGCGATAAGGCACGAGGAAGCGGAGAGGAGGCCCAGGGCCCCCAGCCCAGCCTGGACTAGGGGGTTCCCACAAGCCATGGCCTGTTTGAATTGAGTGCACACAGGAAGTCAGGGCCTGGTAAGCTGGGGAGGGTAGCTCATCGGGCCCTGCGCCGGTTAACCTGAGTGTCGTATGGGAAGGCAGGTCTGAGGCCCGTCATCGCCTGTCTTCACAAGGATGGAAGGCACGTTGTGACCCCGGGTATACATCTTAGCGTTTCCAGAATTATTTTGCAAACCCGTCTTCCTCCCAGGTCAGCCTCCCCTCTGGGGGGAGGAGTAGAAGCAGTTTGCGATAACTCTTCCTGAACCAGAACTCGCTTGCCCCATCGTCACCAAAAAAAGTGTGCCAGATGGCCTGTGTCTGCAGACTCAGGGGTCCCGGCCGGGCCTGCAAACATGGGGGTGCCGGACCTGACCCTCGGCCGTCTCTGTGTTTGTTCTCACACTGGTTAACCATCCCGCGGGGTGAGGCTACCCGTACGATGCCTGCTCCCCAAATGCCAGCCGTGATGCTCATTGCCGTCACCCAAACGTCCGGCACTGGCTCTGCTCTTTTTCTTTGTCCTTCGTGGATCCCTTTTTAAGCCCCTACTTGGTAGGCATTTCCTGTGTGCAGGACAAGGCTCAGTGTCCGCACCTCTCTGGAAGTTAGGGCCTCTGGCCAAGGTGTGGGGGCAGAGGCGGTGGCGGAGGCCGCGCCCAGCCGAGTCCTCACCTAGCTCCAGCCGCCGCGGGGCGCTGCCCACCTGCTCTCCCAAGACTCGCCGTTTCCTTCTAAACTTACACCTGGGTGGAGGGGCACGTCCCACGTGCAGCGTTTCTCCCTGGAAGGGAAGGCAGTGCGGCTGTTGGCGCTGAGCTCTGCCAGCAGGGGGAGACGGAGCGCCCGGCCCCGGCGGGTGCCCGGCCCCGGCGGGTGCCCGGCCCCGGCAGTAGAACTTTGTTTCCTCGGCTGGTCACAGGGGCTTGGAGGGGCTCCCCGGGTCCCTCCTCGCTGTATCAGCACGGAAAGAGCAAACTCAACCGCCAGGGAAAGATCATTCCTTCATGAAATGACCAAGGGAAAAATTGGCCTCTTTCTGTTTGATGAAACTCTAAATACAGAGAACAAACTGAGGGTTGATGGGGGGGGGGCACTCGCTGGGATGAGCACTGGGTGTTGTATGTAAGCGATGAGTCACGGAATCGACCCACGAAACCGAGAGCACGCTGCATACGCTTAACCATAAAGTATATACGTACATCATATATATGTATATATATGTAATTCTTTGTAACATTCGTAACATACGCATGTTTGTATATATGTTGTAGCCTATGCATGTGATACAATTCAAACATGTTTCCCCCTCAGCACTTCTTAGGTAACAGTTTCTACCCTCTTCCCCTCCACCTGCGGTAGCAATTACACGGTGCTGTAGAAACTCTCAGGTTTGGGGGCCTCCAGGGGATGCTTTCCGCCGCCGCTGCCTCTCCGACACTTCCCAGGAGGCCTGGCCACCTTGCAGCGGAGCAAGCAGGGCACCGTCCCTACTGTCAGCTTTGAGGCCTCTGCCCAGGACAAGCCGGCCCGCCGATCACGCCTGCTCCACGCCGTGTCGCGCACCAGAAAGCGCGAGGCTGTCCCCCCGGGGGCTGCCGCTCAGTTCACCCCGTCCCTCTCTTCTCTCCGCAGCCGTCCCAGTCCGCGTTCTCACTCAGCAGAGAAGATGCCCCGAAGACCCCGTCCCTGGAGGCTGCGGCGGGGCCGCCGGGGGGCCGGGCCCAGCCGCCGAGGGAGGAGGCGGCCTCGCCCGTCTGGAAGAGCGTGGACAGGCTGGACGACACAGGTGCGTGGCTTAAGCAGCACGGGGCTGGCCCGCGGGTCTCCGCGGTGCCGTCCGGGGGCTTCCTGGCCGCCGAGTGGCCGCCCGGCTCCTCCTGCGCCGCCCGAGTGCGCGTGTGCCCGTGTGGGGCGGCCGAGCCACCGAGTCCGAGGCCTCCAGCCCAGGGCGCACCTAGGACGTGGTCACGCTTTCCCCGCGGCCGTTTCCTGCGGGGACCGTGGGACCGGGGGCTCCTGGGCGGGGACTGCACGGCCACGCTTCAGCCCCTGTCGCACGTGGGCCGGGAGACCATGCCTCGCGCAGGCCAGAAACGCTAACCCCCCCACCCGGCGCGGCACCCCAGCGCTCCACAGGGTCTAGGTCCCCGCGCGGGCTGGTTCTCTGACACCTGACACATTAGGTAGGGGGCACCCTCTGCTCTACAGGGAACCCAGACATTCGGGCGGCTCAACACAATGGTGTCATCTCACCACACACCAGCGCAGTGCAGTGAACCGGCTGCGGGAGGCCTTCGGAGGCCAGAGGCTCCTGCTTTGTGGCTCCGCTCTGCTCCGTGGCCTCTGGGTCTTCTGCTCGGTCCTTCACGTGGGCCAGCGGATGGAGGAAGAGAGAACTCAGTGCCCCCGCTCCCCGACCGCCTCACAGGGAACGGCCCCCCGCTCCCCGACCGCCTCACAGGGAACGGCCCCCCGCTCCCCGACCGACTCACACGGAATGGCCCCCCGCTCCCCGACCACCTCACACGGAATGGCCCCCCGCTCCCCGACCACCTCACAGGGAACGGCCCCCCGCTCCCTGACCGCCTCATAGAGAATGGTCCTCACCATTTTCATCCCCAGACCACAGGCGAGGACTGTCACCCAGCCCCGCATTGAGGCTCAAACACATCCCAACAGCGTAGCTCGGCCGTGAGAGGGGCTCTGAGGGACGGCTATCATCCCCGCCACACCTGAGGTCGGCATGCTGCCCATGCTTTCTGCTCCTTCTTTTAGAAGGTTCCCGTCCCTGCACAGAGCATGAACTTAACCTCACCAGAGACTTAACATCCATGACACACAGTCCCTCATAAACCCTCAAGTCACATAATCCTTCCCAGTGAAGAGGCTCAAAGTAGCTGAGTCACTTCCCCGAAGTCACGCCTCCAAAGGCTGTGAGGTGCTGGGAACCACGTGGGTAATAGGCGAGGGCCATGGGCGCCTGGTCCTGGGCCCATGGCTGACTGTCCAAGTCAAGTACTCACTTCACCCTGGCACGGGCCCATTCTTTCCTCACCCGGATACACGTATGGGAGCTGGGCGCGCTGTCCTCGCAGGAAGAAGCCACAAAAGGATCCTCAGCTCCCATTATATGTCGGGTGTGGAGTCCTTTTCTGAACAACCACCACAAAAATTGGCAGCAAAATAGTTGCCTTAGAAATACGCTTCTAAAGATTGTGCTATCGATTCTACTCTCTAAGGGAAAAATTGAACTGGCAGCTATTTAAACAAATTCCAGTGTTTGCCCAGGGCAAAGAACCGCCACCAATGCAGTGTTTTCTACAGTCGTTCTAGAACTTTTCCAAAACAGGCCGCTTCCATGTGCACCTTGTAGTAGAACCCATGGGTACAACCTGCAGAGACTTCAGTGAAACACATGAAATGTTCTTGCTTTCTGTATATGGTTTTGGTTTTATAAGTGCATTCTTCCGTTTAAGAATTTTTTTAATGTTCATTTATTTTTGAGAGGGAGAGAGACAGAGGTGAGCAAGGGAGGGTCAGAGAGAGAGAGGGAGACACAGAATCTGAAGCAGGCTCCAGGCTCTGAGCTGTCAGCACAGAGCCCGACGTGGGGCTCGAACCCACGAACCATGAGATCATGACCTGAGCCGAAGTTAGACGCTTAACCGACTGAGCCACTCAGGCACCTCCCACATCCTTCCATTTTAAGTAAGCTTTTCTTTCCCTTCCTCCTGCTCCCCAGCATATCTGTTCATTCATTCATATTCTTTCCTTCATTATCTCTCACCAGGGACTGAAAGTTCCCACAGAGAAGGGACTCTAAAAATTCCACAAGGCCTATGAGGATGTCATATAATAGATCTTCAATAAACAGTCATAACTAACTTTTTAAAATCCTCTACATTGTACAGGGTCCATCTGCAGGCACTATTTCATTCACTCCCCCAGGGTCATTATCTTGTGAGGGACAGTGAGGGTGAACGACTTGTTCGAGATCTCACAGCTAATGTGGCCAAACCCACACACCACGGCCTCAGCTTTGCAGGCTCTTTCAACGACTGCATGATAATAAGTGTCCCCCTCCCCCGCTCCATAAAACCAAACAGATAACAGCAACAACAAAGAGCCTTTCAAAATCCACACGTAACACACGGATACATTAGAAGATACTCTGAAAACTTCTGGCAAAGACTCTGTTTCATGAAATAGTTGCCTGCTGAATTATGACATTCCAAATAAATTTGGAAAATATTTGAATTTTCAAAATGTGACTTTTTTTTACCTAATTTTCTGTAAAATAAAGCACCCATATTGTAATTTATCAGTTGTATGTAAACAAAATTTAGGGCCGCCTGGGTGGCTCAGTCAGTTAAATGTCTGACTTCGGTTCAGGTCACGATCTCACGGTTCATGGGTTCGAGCCCTGCATCAGGCTCTTGCTGACAGCTCAGAGCCTGGAGCTGCTTCCGATTCTGTGTCTCCTCCTCTCTCTCTCTGCCCCTCCCCTGCTTGTGCTCTATGTTTTTCTCTCTTAACAATGAATAAACGTTAAAAAATTTAAAAACATAATTTAGTTCAACAATATCACACACAAGATTTCATACTCAAAAAATCCATGCATCCCTCAGGATGGAGATTTAAAATTCCAAACACAGAAAGCACTTATGTAGGAAACTGCTGGGTTTTCTGTGGAATGTTCAGCCTTGACATGCCGAGGTGTCCAGGCAACCCCAGAGCCATTGAGGGACGTCTGATATGTTTAGCGGGAAGTAGATTGTCCCCAGGGGCATTGCCCCATCTCAGCAGAGCAGAAGTGGAGACCAGCGGAGACCCAGAGGTGGAGGGCATCGGAGGTTAATGTCCACGGGGCTATTTTCAGCATTTCTGTTTGTGCCTCAGGGGCAGGTTGCCTCCAGAGCGTAGTAATCCACGGTTGGGGTCAGCCGTAGGGGTGCCGTGGGCTGAGTAAACCACAGCTGGTCCACTTTGAGCCTTGGCAGTGCTGACAGTCTGTGGGGTCTCTCTTAACACGTTTTCCCCTTCTCGGCCTTGACCAATCGTCCTCTGTACGCACAGCGTGTGATCGGTGCTGGGAAACAACGGCCAGGGGACGGCCCCTGCTCTCGGGTCGCTGCCTGGCGATGTGGGGAGAGGACGGAGGGGCGCAGGATGCCCAGTGTGCATTCCCGGAGGACTAAGCGACTGTGGTCCCGGAGCCCAGGCGCGGCTTTGGGGGCTCCAGCCACGCAGCCCACAGCCAGGTTTTCCTAGGGTTGGGCATTCAGGGGCCCGCTGTGCTGTCGCCAAGATAAAAGCTGATCACCTTCCAGCTTCCTCAGAGGAACGCGGGAAATGGGATTGTAAAAGGCAGAAGAGAGGAGCCAGCAGCCCGCCACAGGGTGGGTGTTGAGGGCGGGCACGTGGGCACGGGGTGGGTATTGAGGAGGGGTGGGCATGATCACGGGGTGGGCGTTGAGGGGTGGGCATGGCCATGGGGTGGGCGTTGAGGAGGGGTGGGCCTGGTCACAGGGTGGGCGTTGAGGGCAGGCGCGTGGCCACGGGGTGGACATTGAGGGTGGGCGCGTGGCCACAGAGCCCGACACAGCGGCCTTCTCAGGGCTCTCTGTCAGGCCCCAGGAGAGGCTGCAGGCGGCAGGGCTCCCTGACTGGCACAGAGCAGTCTTGCGCCTGCAGCCTGTGGGTGCCCGTGTTCCCTAACAAGTCGTCTATACAAGCCCAAGACAGGTTCCAGAACTGCTCGGGGCCTGGAGGTGGGGCAGCCAAGAAGACACAACCTGTGGTCGGGGTTGAGGCAGGGCAGGGGTGAGGGGTGGACATCCCAGAAAACAAACTCCGATGTAGTTGCAGATGGGCGTCATCTCATTTAGTCCGCACACCCAGCGGCGAGCTGTGAGCTGCAGCAAGGCTGAGAGGCTCTCCGCGCTTTCTGCCCAGGCCCCCTGACTCCACGGCCTCCGCTCTTCCCTCTGCGCCAGAGCGGCCTGGAGAGGCAGCAGGTGCAGCCCCAGCCGCAGGGACCGCAGGGAGGAGGGCGCGGTCATGGTCATGGGCGCGGTCAAGGTCAGGGGCGCGATCCGCCAGATCACAGATGGGGTCATGGAATCGGCGGGATAGGCTGCCACACCCGCAGGGCTCGGGGAGGGGGAGGGGCCCGGGGAGGGGGAGGGGCCTGGCAAGGATGAGAACTGCTCTAGGAAAAGGAGGGCGCAGGAGATGACATCCGTGAAGGGTCCCCGCAGCTCTGCCACGTGGAGACGGTGGGGGTGGCCCCCAAAGATGGAGGGAGCAGCCAGAGACAGGCAGGACCCAGGCCCTCGCGTCCAGGGCGCCAGGCTCCGGTCCCCGCCGGGCCGGAGTCCTCCTGGCGGGGAGTCCCGCCCGCGCGCAGGTCCCGGCCCAGCAGAGCGTGCAAGCTTGGGTCCAAAGCCCCGGGACCCGGCGCCCCATCCCCAGGGGGCCCAGGAGGGCTCCTCAGGGAGGACGGCCTCTGCCGGCGATTGCTGTGCCCGAGGCCCAAGGGCCCCGCCAGGTGCCGATGGCTGAGGGGGACCAGGTCGTCGTCCTCACTCCCGGGCACACGGGCAGGACACGCTGTCTTCGGCAAAAGTAAAACAAAGCAACTGTCACCCCCTGGCGTGCAGATCCGCCCCTGGGGGCCCGGCCACCGGCCTCACAGATGCGCTGAGCAGAACTGAGCCCCGTTGAGGGCCGGTCCAGACCATGACCCCGAACTGAGGACCCCTTCCCTGAACAGGGCCTCCCGCTGACCCAGGGCTCCCACGCCCCGGTCTCCAGGGCTGCTTTGGAGAGGATGCCCCGCACCCCAACTCCACCCGTTACAGGCTCTGTGCCCTTTGACAAGTTACGTGACTCTGCTCACCTTCTTTCCCCTTCTTTAACATAAGATTGGAAACACCAGCTTCTTTCTCCCTCAGATCCCTTCCAGAATGAGCTGTGTGCCTCGAGTTGAAAATAAACTTACATGCTCAGCAGAAACAAGCGCTCGCTCCTCCACGACTCACACAGAACACCTCCGGCACCAGATGTGTGGGGTTTTCCCTTATCAACCGACTCTCTGGCAGCGGCTGGGTGTCCTGCAATTCCACGCTGGCCCCGGCTCCCTGGAGCGAGCTCCAGGCCCCAGGGTCAAGGGCTCAGGACTGCGTGCCTTCAGGGTCAAGGGCTCAGGACTGCATGCCTTCAGATACTAGTTCCAAGTCCCGAGTCATTCACTTTTGACGAACCAGCTATACTCAGGGTCCCCACGACCCCCTCCTGAGGTTCAGTAATTTGCTGGAGCAGCTCGGCTCAGGCTGAGGCCGTGGAGGGTCCTGAGCACCAAGGAGTCAGGCTGTGCCACTCTAGGCACATGGTCATGCCTCCCGGGAAGCTCTCGAACCCCATACTTCAGGGACTCTTACAGAGGCCCCATCACGTAGGCACAATCGATTATTAACTCATTTCCCAGCCCCTCTTCTTCTCTAGAGGATGGGGGAGGGGCTGAAAGTCCTAAGTTTCTAATCATGGCTTGGTTTTTCTGGTGGCCAGTCCCATCCTGGAGTCCCCCAGAGTCACATTAGAATAAAAAATGTTCCTATCACCCAGGAAATTCCAAGGGACTTAATTTAGGAGCCTTGTGTCAGGAGCTGGGGTCAGAGACCAAATACCAGCAGGCGCCCAGGACAGATTCTGTGTGTGTGTGTGTGTGTGCGCGCGTGCACGCGCGCGCGTGCACCAAGGGTAGGCAGGCTGCGTTAACCTTGAGGGAGGCCGGGGAGGGTGATGGAGTCGTCTCCCATGCAGCCAGGGGAAACCATGGCCCAAGGGCAGGCAGCCAGACCCGGGGTTGCCCGCAGCCCTCCCTTCACCCCTTCTGTGCCCCGCCAGCCGAGGGCAGGGGAGGGGCCGTGCCTAGGAGAGAGGTGACCATCCACCCGGGTAGATGTGCAGCAGGAGCCCAATCTCCGAGTGCCTCCCGTCTGTGGGGCAGCGGGACCTGCAAGGCCTCAGGGACTTCCCAGGGACCGTCACCTCCACCTGCCGAGGAGGTGTGCCCTGGAGGACTTCCTGGAGGCCGCTGCTCCTCGCAGGCTGGTCGTGGGGAAGACAGACTGTGGCCTCGCCTTGCTGTGGGGCGCTAACCCTCTCTGCCTCCCCTCTCCTCCCACCCACAGGCCTGGCCACCGTTTTGCAGAGCCCCGACGGGAACTGGGTGGCCCTGGGAGACGGCGCTGGGCCACTCCCCCGCCTGCTGGCCAAACCGAAGAGCGGCGCGTTCCAGGCCCTGGAAGCAGCCTCCGGCGCGGCCTCTGCCTACGAGGAGATGGGCTCCGACAGCGAGGAGGACTTTGACTGGAGCGAGGCCTTGAGCACACTGTGCCCGCGGCCCCGGGGCCCGGCCAGCAACCCCCAGCTGCAGCCCACACAGGCCCAGGGTGCGGACCAAGGCCCCTCGGCCACCTCGGCCTCCTCGGGGCTCTCCCCCAACCCCGAGGCCATGTGCTCTGACTCGGAGACCTCCTCAGCGGGCTCCTGGCGGCAAGCTGGGCGCCGGGCCAGGCTGTCCTGGCTGCAGAGGAAGGCCCCCGGGGACCCCGCCGCGGAGAAGATGCGCCTGCAGGGAGAGCTGGACGTGAACTTCAACCCCCAGGCGGCCAGCAGGGAGACCTCGGACAGCAGTGAGCCCGAGGGGGTGCCTCCGGCTGCCGACCGGAAGGCCAGGAGGGGCAGAAGGGCCCGTGTGGGCTCGGAAGAGCCAAGCGAGGAATTGTCTTCTCCCAGCGCCCATTGCCAAGGGCTGGCTGCGCATCAGGTAATAAAACCGGGCGCGTGCAGGCGCACGCACACACTTCTCGGCAAGGTGTGCCCTCTCTACCCTCCTGGTGCAAAGGCCTGGGTTTATAGTTCACGGACCTGGATTCTGGCCTTGGTTTGCTGCTAGGTAGTGGTCTAGACAGCCCAAGTCACCTCTCTGGGGCTCACGGCCTCCTCTCTGGAGATGAGCGCTTACAGGTCAAAGTGGGCTTGCGGTGATGCCCCAGGAACAAGTCAGGGATGCAGAGTCTCAGGCCCCGCCCCCCTCAACCCTGGGCCTGTGGTCCAAGGCGTGCGCGGATCCAGTTCTCCTGGTGATTCAGCGTGAGGGCCACGGGCTTGGGGTCTAGAGTCAGGCGGCCTGGCTTCAAATCCAGCTGTTGACCTTGGGCGAGGGCTCAGGTCCTTCCTCTGTAAATGTAGATGATGTTACAGCCCGTTTTCAAAGAACGGTTGTGATGTGTGCGTGAGGTAAGGTGCATAAGGAACTAAAGCTCCATCCTAGGCACGGTATGGGGTTCATGAAATGTGATTTCAGTAGGGTAACTGAGGGCGCAGTTTACTCACATTCTGCGGTTCTTCTGTCCACCTCACACCCCCGCCCGGGCTCCTCAGAGGCTTGTCAGCACAGGTAAGTTCATGAGCCTCCTTTGAGACTGCGTGAGGTATGGCTCTCTTCATAGAAAAATGCACCCGTACACACACACACAAATATACACACACAAATGTACACACAAATACACACACACAAATATAAACGCATATACACACACATACACATACACACATACACACAAATACACACACAAATACACACATATACACACACGAATATACACACACACAAATATACACACAAATACACACATATACATACAAATACACATACACATACATATACACAAATACGCAAATATACACATATATACACACACATATACACACATACACACACATATATACACAAATACACACAAATATTCACACAGATACATACACACACACATACGCATACACACACACATACGCATACACACATGCGCTCACATCACTTTACTTACAACCTCAGGTAGTTCGTGGACCCCCAGCCAGACTGATCTGTGTTCTCTAAACACACCCTGCTCGCTCGCACCTCTGCGCCGTGACCACGCCGTGGCCTTCCCCTGCCCTGCCTCTTCCCGGTGAAGCACATCCCGGCCAGCTGAATGTGGAACTTTGTGGAGCCCACGCTAAACTCAGTATTTTCTAAACTCGAAAGTTTAGAAATTCTCCAGTGCAGCCTGGAGAATTTAAATGGCCTCGTGTGAGCAGAGGATTGCATTTGAAACTGAGAGTCTAGTGGAAGAATCTAGATCGTTGCCCCTGCCTTCTGCAGGCCCACATCACCGTCAGCCTGACGTTCTCCGCTCCTGGAGAAGCATCCCCGCTCCTGGGACCTCGCTGCATGCCCGGTGGTACTCAGCCCCCCAGCCCTGCGTTCCTAGCTCGGGTCTGACCAGACGCAGGCTCTGAGTCGCGGATTTGGATGTAGGGTTGGGGGGAGGAGATCACGGGAACCCCAAGAGTGAGCCGGGGTGTCGGGAAAGGCCTCTTGGGGAGCACTGTGGAGAAGTGGGGCTGAAGGCCCCAGCAGGGACGACCGAGAAGCCACGTGGGGCGCCCCTCCCACGCCAGGAACATTTATCCACAGCCCCCCACGCCCCATTGTAGAGAGCGGCCCCACCCAAGAGAGCATTAACTCCACACACAACCCGTTTGCAGAGACATCCTTCCGGCAGAGGAGAGGGAGGCCCAGGCCTGAGCAGGGAAGCCGTCAGTGGGCCACGGACTACCCCTCGGGACCTCAGGCGACTCAGCTAGCTCGAGGGGCCACAGGCTGGGCCACCACCCGGGCCTGCGACCGTGCCCTCTTGGGAATATGGGCCAGACCCCTGCTCCCCAGGCCCCGTGAGGATCGCTGTAGACTCCGAGGCCCTCGGGTCACAGAACCTGGGCCGGTCCTGCCTGAGCGCTAATGGGTTGCCTAGGAAACACCCTTTCTTTGCTCCGAGGTCCCGCTTGCCCCTCTGTAAAACAGGACCCCGTACAGATCTGCGTGTGGGACTGTTGTGATCAGAGACTAGACCCAGTTCTGCGGACGGTGAGCCGTTGGGACCTGGCTCAGGTGGGCACGGTGTGACAGAGCCTTTGGCTGACGCGCCTGAGGGCTATTCTAGACTCACGCGCCCGCACGCAATGCCATGTAGCCGCAGCGTCTGGCTGCGTGAGCTTCCTATTTATCCTGAAGCGGCTCGAAAGTTGTCGTCTGGGGGTAGGAGAGCGCTGGGACCCGCATGGCTTCTGCCTGCCTGCAGTGTCCCGCCCTCCCCAGTAGGTGGCAGTGGGGTTGCACCAACAGACTTCAAACCCGGCCCTCCTAAGGCGTCTTCCTCTTTCCTAGGGCAACTCTCTTCTCTCTTCCCAAAAAAAAAAATTAAAAAATTAATTAATTAAACACACACACACACCTCCAATCTGAGGGTTGCGTGGATTTTTTGAGAAAAGTATGAAATCTTTTGTACATACGTATGTACATATGTATATATGTATGTATAGGATTTTTAACTGTTTGCATGCTTTTTACCTATGCAAACTTCACGTAAAACCTTGTGAGCGTACAAATGCGGTGCCCTTGACCGCAGCCAAGCCCCTGCCGTGTCCCGCAGAATAACTGAACCTAAGTTTGTGCATCAGCACACACGTAGCACGTTTAGGAATACAGTCTGGAAAGGAATCTGGATTTCAGCAAAGGCGGCCTTTCCCCTCCATGGCCTCCCGTCTCCTGCTGTCACAGAGACAGAAATGTCAGCGTACATCCCCAAGCAGGGCCTGGTGGGCAGCCTGGGGGAGGCAGCAGTGTGTCCGGCGTGCAAGCGGGAAGTGTGCACTTCCTGTAGCGAATTTTAAAACAATAATAAGTTCAGTAAAAGTCAGCCTTTTTATTGCCACCGTGCACCACACCGGGTCAGTTCTGAGCAGCGCACGTTATGGTTAGGCCTTCAGTGCCTCTGCTCTCTGCTTTTCCGGATGGTATGTGGTAAGATCTCACCTTATTTTTTTCACATTAAGCATTTGTCACAAAATCATTCTTAAATAATTCATCCTGTATCTGCTGGCCTCAGGTGCCCCCTTCAACATACATTAACCTTCTTTTATTTCCACGAGCCTGGTTTCCTTATGCTCTGTTTTCTTCCACTGACGCGGAAGGTCCCATTCATGTACAAATGCAACTTTATTTTAACTGTAATCACTTCATAATGTACTTTGTATCTGGTACGTGATTTCCCTCCGTGGTGTTTTTTGTTGAGGATATTTTATAAAGTGTCTCAACTTGTCTCTATCCTTTACTCACATAAATGATTTTCTTAATTTATTATAGTTTATTGTCAAGTTGGTTTCCATATAACACCCAGTGCTCATCCCCACAAGTGCCCTCCCCCATGCCCAACACCCCCTTTCCCCTCCCCCTCCCCCCCCCACCCGCATCAGATACTTTGTTCTCAGTATTTAAGAGTCTCTTAATCGTTTGCCTCCCTCTCCTTAACTATTTTTCCCCTTCCCCTCCCTGTTAAGTTCCTCCTAATCCTCCTATATGTGCAAACATATGGTATCTGTCCTTCTCTGCCTGACTTATTTCACTCAGCATCACACCCTCAAGGTCCATCCACGTTGCTACACAGGCCAGATGTCATTCTTTCTCATTGCCATGGAGTATTCCATGGTATAGATAAACCACACCTTCTGGGTCCATTCGTCCGTTGGTGGACACTTAGGCTCTTTCCATGATTTGGTTATTGTTGAAAGTGCTGCTGTGAACATTGGGTTACATCACATAAATGGTTTCTTACAATCTTCTCTTCAAGTTGAAGAAAATTCCAGGTTTTGATTCGATTGCTCCAAATGCATTTATCTCTTTGGGGAAAATGTGTGTCTGCATATGACTGACGCTCTCCTCCCATCGGTGCCCTTCGTGTCTTCATTCACTCACTCTCTGTCAAGTTTTAGAGTTTTTTTCCAAAGCCCTCCTCTTTTTGTGAAGAAGTTCTTAAGTATGTCATACATTTTATTGACATTGTGGGTAAGATCTCTTTTTTATAGGTTTATTTATTTTTAAGAGACAGAGCATGAGTAGGGAGGGGCAGAGAGAGAGGGGGACACAGAACCTGAAGCAGCTCCAGGCTCTAAACTGTCAGCCCAGAGCCCGATGCAGGACTCGAACTCAGGACCCCTGAGCTGAAGTCGGACGCTTAAGCGACTGAGCCACTCGGGCTCCCTTAAGATCTCTCTTTTATCCATTCCCTATTCTAATTGATTTCTGTTGGTGTATAGAACACTATTGATTTTATGTTTATAATTTTATAACTTAGCTCTAATAAATTCTTAGTCCTAATAGTCTTTCACATGATTCTTTTAGCTGTTCCTGGTAGATCATCATCTTGTCCACAAGGAAGGACATTTTTTATGGTTTTCTTCACGCTTTACACTTACTTCTCTTGCTCGGATGATGCCCGGCGACCATCTGTGTGCTACACTATGAAGCAGTCGTGACAGCCAGCATTTGGTGTCTGCCTTGCTCTGGTCCTTGGTCACCTGCTTCCGGTGGTGACTCCTTATGTTTAGTAGGTCTGGTTTAGTATGTTACCTCCTGTACCTTTAGTAGACATTCCAGAACAAAGAACCATCTATTTCTGATTCCCTAAGTGATGTAAATCAGGGATGTGAGCTTTATCAACTGCTTCCTGCCATCTCTCAAAATGATCCTATGGTTTTTCTTCTGTTGATGTTTGTAAATCACATTAGTAGATTGCTTCATCCTAAACATCTTTTCATTTGCTGCATAAATCTTCCTGGATCCTGATTCCTTTCTGCAAAAGCTAGTTTCTATTTGCAGGTTTCCATTTTCATGCCATCTTGTTCAGCTTTGCTATCAAGTTATACTAATGACTTGGCAAGGATTCT